AAAATGTTTAATTTCATTAAAATCAGATCGTATGACACTTTTCTTCTCTGTATTCCATTATTTATAGTGAAGTATATTGATGTTTTCCCTGATTTCGTTTCCCAGACTTGAAAACCGCTAATACAAATATTAATTGAGTGCAATAAAAAAAACTGAATTCAAATGTAAGGTAAATCGGAACGTGGCCGGGTTCCTTACGACCAACGTCTGATTGAATCACGTACCCACTATAATTCCTTATACCTATATTAAAAACAAACGGAACGTTTTACGTAATTCAAATTACGTATAAAGAGACATAAACATCTCACGTTTTACTTTAATCGTGCTTGAAAGTAAAAAAAATTCGAGCAAAAGTCGCCTTCTATATAAAGATTAAAAAATTAAATTGCGATGTAGAGCCATGTCACGTTCAAACAATTTTATGGGGATTTACCTTCACAACAAGACAAAGCTACTGTAAAAGAAAATCGACTTTATGTAATCAAAGCGCGTTATATATAACTTATCTGTAGTTTAGAGGAAAACTTTCAACATCCTCTGCTTTCTTATGAACAACCAACTAAAAAAATTGACGGTATAATTAATTACATTTCCATTTTTTTGGAAAGAAGAATATTGCCTTGCATATATTAGCAATATTAGTAATATTATAGACTTTGGAAAATACGTTTTTATAAAAGAGAATGAGAAATTTTGCTGAACATTTCTCTCAACTACGGATTCCTCTGTTATTATCGTTATCAAGAGGCGTGTTATTATTATTAAATTTTGCATATGTTCGACAGGTAGCTCAATCGATTCACAGAAAAACAATACCACCTGGAAAATATACCTTGAAATTGTGACTCCTCGGAACAGAGCATAAATGTAATCATATCGAGCAGTGGTATTGGTTCAGAATATCTTCTTTGAGTTATAAAAATCGGTCCATTACATTTGCTTGAAATTTCTTAAGTTGCAATTTTCCAAAACCACTAACCCTAGACTTCAAGTCCCACCCCCAAACTCCCAAAACCAGTTCTCAAACCTCCGCCACAACACAAGTTCCCAAAACCAGTTCCCAAACCTCCGCCATAATATGAGCTACGCCAACGTAGTCCGAAATGCAGAACCCAGAACAGCAGAACCCCAAACTGCAAACACAACCGATCAGTTATTTAGCCTTACACTCAGCAAGTTTCTCGACGAATTCAAATCCATGTTTTCCCAATTAATTCAGCAAAACAGCATGGTCTTAAACATGTTGACAATGTTAATCAACAAACAAACCAATGGATAAATTCCTCATAATAGCACAATGGAACGCTAACGGTCTTTTAAAACACAAAGACGAAATCATCCTATTTCTTAAACAAAATTTTATAGATATATTGCTAATAAGTGAAACACACTTTACAGAAAAATCTTATATTAAAATACCAAACTATGTAACTTACCACACCAATCATCCCGATAAAACTGGACACGCAGGTACCGCCATCTTAATAAAACAAAGCATCAAGCACTAAGCTCTCCCTAAATATGAGGAAGCCATACTCCAGGCCACATCCATTAAAGTAACCACTTTACCCTATGAACTCACAGTAGCGGCGGTCTATTGTCCTCCTCGGCACAACATTAAAAAAGAGGATTTTGAAACATTTTTCCATACACTGGGACCTAAATTCATTTGTGGAGGCGATTTTAATAGTAAGCACACCACATGGGGATCTCGTCTAGTCACTACCAAAGGCAGAGAGCTACTCAAGGTTATGCAACAAAACAAATACGACTTCCTGTCAACGGGAACCCCAACATACTGGCCCACGGACCAAAACAAAACACCTGACCTTCTCGATCTTTTCATCACCAATGGAATATCTAAACCATATACGGACATCTCCGCAAGTCTTGACTTAACTTCAGACCACACACCTATAATAGCAACAATCAGTGCATGCATTATTCGCAAAGAGCAACCCAAAAGACTCCACAACTCCAAAACAGATTGGGAACTTTATCGCCACACCCTACATGAAAGCTTAGATCTGAAACTCAGTCTCAAAAACTCAAAGGAAATAGACGACGCCGTTAACCAATTAAATACAGAGTTATCAACGGCAGTCCGACAAGCTACTCCTACCATCGATTACAAAAGAACTGTCAGTAACATCCCTCTTGAAATTAAACAACTAGTCGCTCAAAAGCGAAAAGCCAGAGCGCAATGGCAAAAAACTCACCATCCATCAGATAAAACTAAACTAAACAACCTAAGTAATCTACTAAAGACAAAATTGAAAAATCTAAGAGAAGACTCATTCAAAAATTACGTATCAAACCTGAACAGGTATGACAACTCAATCTGGAAACCAATTAGATCCACCCTAAAACCACAAACTACATCTCCACCTATAAGAAAACTACCACCAGCACTGGGGTCGGCTAAAAGTTGCAAGGAGAAAACGGACGTGTTTGCTTACCATCTATCCGGTATTTTCCAACCACATGAAGACACACTCATCAACCCAATTCCAGAAAACCTTATATCACCTGAAACTCCCCACCCTCCCATCCCATCAATCACACCAAGGGACATCAAATCCGAGATTCAACGACTAAAGCTCAAGAAGTCACCAGAGCTGGACCAAATTACACCCAGAATGTTACGAGAACTCCCAAGAAAGGGAATAGTACTCTTGACCTACATTTTCAATGCAATACTACGACTTCAGTATTGGCCTACAGAATTTAAAAAAACCGAAATAATACTAATTGTCAAGCCAGGTAAAGATCCCGGCTATGTAACTTCATACCGCCCCATAAGCTTATTGTCGGTGACCTCCAAACTCCTTGAAAGACTCGTGCTAAAAATTCTTGATCCAGAATTTTGAACAAACTGGATACCAGACTGCCAATTTGGCTTTCGCAAACGGCATTCAACAACTCGACAGTGTCATCGGATCACCCAAGTAATAAATACTGCTTTCGAAGAAAAATCATACTGCACAGCTGTTCTTCTGGACGTTAGCCAGGCATTTGATAAGGTCTGGCATAAAGGGATTATCCACAAAATCGAACACATCCTACCACCTTCATTTCACAAATTGCTCGGATCTTACCTAAGTCACCGGCAATTTCGAACGCGGGTTAATGACGAAACCTCCGCACTATACCCCATCAATTCAGGTGTACCTCAGGGAAGTGTCCTGGGACCCTTCCTTTATATACTATTCACGTCAGACCTTCCAACCACTCCTAACACAACGATAGGCACTTTCGCTGACGACACTATTATACTCGCGAAACACAACAACGTAACCACCGCATCGCGACAAGTCCAAAGCCACCTCAATCTTCTCCAAGACTGGCTGAATAAATGGAAAATATTAGTCAACGAAACGAAGTCGAGCCATGTGACGTTTACTTTGCGCAAAGAACTATGCCCACCCATCTATCTAAATAACGTCGAAATACCCCAGGCTACTTCCATGAAATACTTAGGACTTCATATAGATAATAAGCGGACCTGGCGGGACCACATCAACAAAAAAGAGACACATAGAACTACGATTAAAAAATCTCTACTGGATAATAGGAAGAACATCATCACTGGGCAACAAACTCCTGCTATATAAAACAATTATCAAGCCCATATGGACTTATGGAGTCGAACTGTGGGGCTGCGCAAGCAAATCAAACGTCGCTACCATGCAAAGATGCCAGTCAAAAATACTACGAGCAATCAGTAACGCGCCGTGGTACGTAACTAATCAGATGTTACACGAAGATCTTGGAATCCCGTTTATAACTCAAGTCATACAAGATCAAACAACAAAACTTCTTGACAAGATCGCAGTCCACACCAATCCTCTGTTGTCAGACCTCCCACATCACGAAGTCCTAAGAAGACTCAAGAGACGTTGGCCCACTGATTTACAGTAACGAGGACCCATCGATGGAGGGGCCCTCACCACGCCACTTCTAAAGACAACAAATTGGCTTATAGGATGCTATGTGTTCTGATTGCTGATTATTAATTAAATAAAAAAAAAACTACTACTTATAATAATATTTCTACGTATAAAAAAAAACGTTGTCCGGACTATCTATTCTATTATGGAGAGGTGCTTATAGAATTGAAGCAATTAGTAAGCAAATCATCGCAAGTTATTTTAGCGAATCGAAACATTCGCCTTCTAATAATACCTTCTTGCTATTATTGTTTTACGTTGAATATGGAGAAGACGCTCAAACCTATAAAATGAAGCAATTTAAATTATGCTAAATAATGGATTCAATAGGTAATGGGATTCTAGATAGAGCTACTCGACTCGGAATATAGAAATGGAATTTCTTTTTGTCTCGGCAAATATTGCAAGCCCCATTTTTAATATTGAACCTAATTATGTAATAAATTGGACTAATTTGGAGAAAGATGAAACTCCTAAAGTAAATTTATGCAAATACTTTTTGCAAAAGTTTACTTTGGCGCTACTCCCTCTTAATGCGTGTAAAAGTATCTGTAGATTCGCTCTTAAAACTCTACCGTTAGCTGTCAATTAAACAACTTCTAAGAACATATCGTCCAGTTGCTAGTTGTCGATATCAGCAAAATAAACGGATTTAAAGTCGATTGGAGAATGGGTGCGCATTAGTAGTAATTTATGAGCAAATTTTGAAGAGCAAACACGTATTAATCACCGCGATAAGCTTTACTGATGAAGTTAATTCCCATTTAAATTAATTTAAAAGTTCTATCAGGTAGAAAATCAAATTTATAGTAGGGAGCGACTAAGAGGCGTTGAATTGAGATATGATGAGGTTGTGTTTCGCCAAATATTTTTGCAGGTATAAAAATGCATAAATTTCAATGACCCATAAAGTGGGTTTACATTTATCCTCTAAAATCCTCATGCATAACCCGACCTAGTTGATGTTCCAATAAAATATCCACGTTACGTTTGCCCAAGTTTATTGCTTTAAACGCCCCCCCTTTAATTGCGTATATATAATTTCAGATGGAGCGAAGGCGCACATAGAGGAATTCGGCTATGGGGCAAATTTTAGCAGCTATCCATATTTTGAGTTCAATGTTCCAAGAAACGTTACAACCACCGTTGGACAAACTGCCTTCTTGCATTGCAGAGTTGAACAGTTAGGAGACAAAGCGGTGAGTTATTTTAACTTAGTTTGAATAAACGGGATCCTATCACTCAAGTGGACGGTGGACGAATCTCGTAACAAGGGGCTTTATTTTACTCTTTGATTGAGGCCCAATCGTTACTTGAGAGATTTGACAAAGCAAAAAATAAGTACGACATTGACAAAGGGCTCTGTCGGAGCTTTCGTGAAATGAGAGATACATCCTTCGGCGCTTAACGCCTTATTACAAAGCACATTCCTGGTTCCAGGGATCTAAAGTGGAACAAAGAAAAATAATTAAGTATTTCGTGTATTGGAGGAAAAAAAGAAATTAATGAAACGAGCTGTGTATCTTTCGCGCGATTAATCATTAGCTGATAGCCAACACAATCTCCCTATTATTTCTTGTGAGGGGGAAATATAAATACCTATCACAACGCAAACATCATTAATTATAACCTCACTGTTGCGACACAGCGGAAACCACGTTTATACTAATGCATTTTGCCCCATCTTGTGGTCGATTAAACTTTTAAAGTAATTTATCGGTATCACCAAAAATGAAACTGTTTTCGTAAGGGTGAGATTTGCAGAATTGGGGCGGTTTTATGAATCCACAGCACCTAATTAAAATTATACCATGTACTCGAAATTGTTATCGGTACAATGGCGAACTGTTACTGTAAGCCGACGTACGAAAACTCTATATACATTCTAATTACCCACAAAAGGGATAAAACAAAATTTCAAAAACGATGGTGGTAAATGGCTGCGATATACGTATGTACAAACTAGCACACCCCGCGAACTTCATACCGCTTTTTTGGATGAGATATAAGCTCAGTTTCGGCAACTACGCCCCCTCACCTCACGCGCCGTGTTATATACCGCCTATCAGTCAATATTTCTTTGGATGCGCCGTATGAACTATATAATTACGTAGCGGTATGAAACGACCTATTCTCATACCTATCAAATATTTTTAAAAAAATTCATACAAATCGGCCAAGCTGTTTTGGAGGAGTGCGACTACATACGATCTAATACCTCACTCAATAATGGTGAAGGAGGTCTTTAGGCGAATCATAGCTCGTAAACTTTCACTTCTCGATATTATTGAAGTCGCCTGACTGATCAATAGTGGCAAATTGCTAACACTCCGCACACTATATAAAAAAGGCAATAAAATAAAAAAATAAATAAAAATAAAAAAACAATAGAAACTCGGCCCTCAGTATTTTTGGGTTGTTTGTTGTTGGAGCAAGCCTTCAGGGTTGTAAAGTTCGCTAAAGGCCAATCTTGCAACGTACCAGCATAGTGTAAAGAATAAAATAGTGAGGGAGTTGCGGGAGTATCAATATTACTGTAACGAGTATCTAAGACATAGAAGCATCAGCAGACGCTATTGAGGCGCCATAAATTAATGATTAGTCACCGGCGATAAGGAACGAAAGCGAATGTCCGCGACCTTTCTATAAAACTTTCCGTTTGCTATTTAATCAAATCAAATTGTGTTCAATGGCAATTCCAACATCGATGCCGAAGTGATAATTAGTGTAGTTCGCGCTCGTATGTGATAAATTTACATGTAATATGTAATGCAAATTATAATGAACCCTCCAACAATGTGTATTCATTGAGGTGGGTTCCACATGCACTCACTGAAGATCAAAAATGGACACGATATGCGATATGCTGTGACCACCTGGTACGCTATCACATGCTGGAGAGAATCGTCACCAATGATGAATTTTCGGCCAGGGTTTTCGAACCAGAGCTCATAAAAATAGTTCCCCACCCTCGTAGTTACATTAAAATCAATTCAAAGCCTGATTCAAAGTGACTGAACTTTCAGCAAGCAAAATCTTTTGTCGATGGACCCGAAACTATATCCAGGCGAACTTCAAAATTCCATTGAAAAATGTGCTGAAATTTCTAAAGGTTTCATATTGGTGACGTTTGGCGCGTTCCGTCGTTGTCTGGTAGGTTAGTTGAACATTATTAAATGAGTTTATTTCATGGTGGAGACGGAGCTACTGATGCTACTAGTTTTCGTCGCGACGGTGGAAAAGCGTGTACATCTGTTTACGCCAAATTATGGGCACCCCTATTAGATTTGTTGATGGTGCAGTTCTTTTTTTATAATAAATCTGTGCAGAAGCAAGTTCACCAAAGTTGTGCGAAAAGTTCAGCGGGCGTTATCCGCTTACGGAAAAAGTTTTGTCGTATTGAAAATGGAAGCAGTGTACTATATAGCGTGGATTTTTGTTGAGGTCATATTAAAAGATAGAAGTTTCTACCGTCCAAACAGCTACTAAATTCGTTCATTTTATTCATCATGCCAGTTTTGTTTGTCATCCAATTCTGTGTTATAAAGCAAACTGAAGTTGATTAGCTGTCAGAGTTTGTATGGATTTAGTGCGCTTATTTTTTTTTTATTTGTAGTGGGGAAATGCACCCTATGCACACTCCATAATGAGGCACACGGCTCTCGCATTACCCAGGCATACCCACTAAAACCCCAACCTAAGGCTTCGGCTTCAAAGGCCATTTGCCTGTTTTCTGACTAAGGGTTTATATATCACAGTTTATAAATATCACATGCACAGTACAGTAACTTATATATAGGACATATCACAGACATTTTACACTCAAACATTCTTTACAATATATCACAGTCTATGTATCACATTGATAGTATGCATGAATTGCAGTACATTAAAACACTTGCCTATGTTGTTGAAATTTTCTTGCCAGATAGCACTGATTTGGTGGAGGTTGCGCGCATTTCGGTGCTCCGGACAATCACAGAGCATATGATCCAGTGTTAGGTCTACTCCACAATATAAGCACTGAGGTCGACCTTCACCGGTCAATAGGTAGCTATGTGTTAAGGCAGTATGTCCAATCCGAAGCCTATATGATTTTGTCGAGGCAAAACGACTCGCACCTATAAGAAAGAGTGATCCCAAATTGAGTTTGACTCTCTTTAAGAATACATTCGACGCCGACCACTGTTCATTCCAACGCTCATATATTTGAGCTTTTACAAGTGCACTTCTCGCTTTAACGGACATATTTTCAAAATTAGTGTCTTCTAGATATAAATATCTAAGTTCCTCTCTAGCTCTTATGCCCATTGCTCTACATCTATTCAAACGCGTACTTGTAGTGTCTTCTGTAAGTAGATGGTTATTCGGGTGATTGTCATTTAGTAATACCTTTAGATAGTAGTTTACTAATATCTGTTTTTGGCGAAGAGTTAGAGGAAGGATATTTGCTTCTACATGAAGTATCGCAAATCTTGTACGACCATATTATTTGGATTATTAAGAAAAAAGTAAGTAATTTGACGATTTTTTATTTTATTTGTTGACCGCCGGAGTACGGGGTAATATGTCCAAACACGCTTTCTAAGCTTTCAATTCTTTGAGGGATTTTGTTTTAATTCGTTTTTGTGTTTAGGAATATATGTCCGTATGGGGTAAATACACCAGAGCTTACAGTCTTCTTGTTGAATGTATAAGTCTGCTCCTTAATCATGAGTTCTGACAATAATTTTTCACTGGTCTCATAAAAAAATGTTTTTGCTCTATGATCAAACTGAATAACTCGAAGTGCCGACAATACTGAGAAACTAAAATTTCATGTTAGTGTAATACCTTTTTGATCGTAAAATTAACTTTCAATTATTTGGAAGTGAAACTCGCCGTTTGAAACAAATTTTTATTTTGAAAATGTAAACGTAATTTCCCTTTGGTTGTTTTCATATCGCTCGCGAGAACAACGATGCCAGTGTTTATTAAAGACCATTGGAGATATTCTCCTGAACCGTTTTGTATTAATACCGCCAACGTACACAAACTTGCAATATTAAATTAATGTTCCCCATTTTGCTTATACATATGGTATTTGGTAGTTATTCCGCCCTAATTTATTCCATATGCGCGCATAGCCTTTGTAACTTGACTGTATCGTTTGGGAATTAACACTAAACCCCCCGCCTCTTAATTTATATTTTATTTGTTTTCTAATTCCCGTTCCTTTACGTAACATTCGCAATGAATAGCGATGGTTTTTTAAGCTTGAGGAAGTTTACCTGACATAACATTTCGAGTTGTCTTCATCCTGACAAAGTGGGAAGTTTTGTAGAAAAGTTGCGGTGTGATTTGTTGTCGTGAACAGCAGAAACTTGCAGGTTACGAAGTTCTGCATCAAATTCCTTTAAGGGGCATTTGTTTTATCCTAAGCTTTATAAACTCGCACTCGTGCTAATAAAACGCTCATTTTCCATTTCAGTGAGCCAAGTTTCGCGGTTTAGTTGCTAGAAGTTATTTTTAATAATCCATTGAAGTGAGAAGTACTTGGGAAAAATGCGCGCTAACTTTTAGCTTTTTAGTAGAATAGAGGCGAAATTGTTGAAGCGTTTTTTTCTTTCCATTTAACAGTTTAACGATATTATGTCGAAGTAATTTGGCCTTTTAATGTTACTTTGTGTAGGAATATGGGAGTTGTGCTTACAATGAGGTCCGAGAAAGAGGTTCGGATGGTTTGTTTTTATCACTCGTAGGATGGTTGCCAAAAGCTTTTTAAAGACATTGCAGTACATCAAGTTTTTAACACAAAATCAGAAGTGTCAGAATTTGGGATTAAAAAGACGATATTTCGTAGAGCATCACAAATTGGTTTTACAGGTGTGCTTTCCGGTTACAATAGTTCGAGGAGATTGAAAGTACGAAATTCTTTTAGCAAGATGCGATTCGGCTTGCTCGCTGATAGAACCTTTCGTTTGTTTTACGACAGCTTTCCTATATTGCTACTGAATTCACCTTATTCTCAAGTACAGGTCTGAAAGCCACGATAATGCTAAACAACTCCGGATAATAGTTACTGAATTAGGAATGTGATTTCAGAAAATTTAACTTTTGTGCCCCCTATGAAAATGTCAATATTTAGGAATATACCAATATCGTCAATAGACCTTTATTCCCCTTGTACAGCAATTACCTAATACGATGCTCATGTGAC